ATGGGTCAGTCCGTTCGGTCCAACATTTGGTCCGTTCGGACTGAGCTCTCTAGACCGTTCGGTCCAACAACTTGGTCCGTTCGGACTAGATGCTCTGGTCCGTTCGGTCCACTCCTAGACCGAACAGTCCGGACCTCTTGTCCAGATTTCTCGACGTTTTCTTGTACATTTGTCCTTCCCTGCGTGTGTGACCCTGTAGGCTCATTCGATATAGCAGTATAACCCGAAAACTCTATTCTGGATATACAAGTCATAGGCGGTCTCTAGCAAGACACTATGACTACCTATCTCGAAAAGAGTTTGTTCGTGATCTTGCGAACGCCAATGATGATTCCGGTTAATGATCCTTTTGTATCGCGATATCATATCTCGAACATAAGGCATGGACAAGCCACCTTATCTGATTCGACTGCTTTCTCGTTCACTGAGTTCGACTGTCTGAAATAGACGACGTTCGTCTATAGTGCGGCCACACATTTCTATAGTCTCACTCACACGAGGGACCCAACGATATCTCTCTCTTTTAAGAGAGGTACAAATCCCATCTTGACTATCTACAATCCAGCACATGATTCGTTTCGCACCTGATACACACCTTTATAGTCTTCCTATTACGCAGGACGTTTGACGTATTCAAAGCACGCAACTCTTCATGTTGGATTCCGTAGATATCTCAAGTCTTAGGATCCAATCACGAAACCGCCGTATGAGATTCAAGTCATGACGCTAGTCCATGTGACAATCTCATGCGGGTCAATCCAGTATTCCGTTCTCCAACGAATACCTATAATTGTGATCGTATCCAATACCTATGATCATCTATATGATCATCAATCACATATCATACTAGTCTTAGTATATCATTATTCCCACAATGATACATGACTAGGGAGTTTAGTATTGTTCATAACAATACATGGATATCATCACACATCATGTATGCCAAAACATGTAATGAATAAAAACACTCATCCATAAACTCATAGAAAGTGTAAATACATCAAATGTATCCAAGTAAAGCTCGCAAACAGTACATCATAGAACACTAAACCCACGATCTCCCACTTGCTCTAATCATGGACTGCTAAACATCTAATGCCCATATCCCTAACATGACCCTCATGCTTCGATGAAGGGAGAGGCTTCGTCAACGGATCGGCAATGTTGTCATCTGTCGACACTCTGCAAATGTGCAGTCTCCTCTGTCTATGATCTCCCTGATAAGGTGAAATCGTCTGAGTATGTGTTTGGATCGTTGATGGGATCTGGGTTCTTTCGCTTGCGCGATTATTCCATTGTTGTCACAATACAGAGCAATGAGGCTACCAGCACTAGGAATGACACCCAAGTCTCCAACAAACTTTCTGATCCAAACAGCTTCCTTTGTTGCGTCCGACGCTGCAATATACTCAGCTTCTATAGTAGAATCTGCAACGGTCGCTTGCTTGGAACTCTTCCAGTTAACAGCGCCTCCGTTCAAGCAGAAAACATAGCCACGATCGGATCGAAGTGTCTTGATCGTCTTGCCAAGCTGGTTCTGCACTTCGTTTCTGAAAGCCTTGAACATTTCAAGTGTTTCAGACTTATATATGTCTCATCAAATAGACATAACCATATCGACTGAAATCATCAGTGAATGTAACGAAATACAGATAACCTCCTCTAGCTGGACAGCTCATTGGTCCGCATACATCACTATGTATCAGATCCAATAACTCTGTTGCTCTCTGTCCTTTCCCCTTGAAAGGATGCTTTGTCATCTTGCCCATCAAACAAGACTCGCAAGATTCAAGAGACTCAAAGTCAAATGAATCCAGAAGACCTTCAGAATGAAGCTTATGAATGCGCTTCTCGTTTATATGGCCTAGACGACAATGCCAGAAGAAGGTCGAGTTTAAGTCGTTCGGCTTAAACCGTTTAGTACTCACGTTATAGATGGATGACGTTGAGTTCGAAGGCTGATCATTCAAGACGTATAAATTATTCACTAGATAACCATTACCATAGTTAGTAACGTCAATGTGGGTTGCCCAGCCCAATTAAGTCTAACCCATTTGGGTTTGGTGAGTTGTTGGTTTGGGTTGGGCCAACCCAATAACAAAAATACAATGGGTTGGGTCAACCCATGAAACCCATTATAACCCATAAAACCCATTTTATTTTCACATTAATAAAATCATCATTAAGAATCATCATCATCGAATATTTTTTATTTTTTTGAATTACAAAATAATAAATTAATTAATATATAAATAAAAAATGTAAAAATCTTACATTTATATGTACATATATAAAATACATACATATATTCGTATATGTATATATACATACATATGTTTCCAAAATGCAAATAATATCAAATTTTAAAACTTTGACTAAGTTAGACAATCTAACAGAATGTTTTATATCTAGAAAAATACCAGATTGACTAAAAAATATTCTCTAATATTAAATTCAATCAAAATAACATACCAAAATTTAATCGACAAAGCTAAAAATATCCATTAATTGATTTAAATACAAATCATTGTTTCTTAATCCAATCTAAAACTATCTAAAATCGTTTCTAAATCATCATCATTCTCAGCATCCTTCTATGTGTTTTTACCAGTGTCATCATCAACAACCACTTCAATATGATCATTATCTTCACCATCGCATTCTTCACCTATCATAGACATAAAACCAGAAAATGTGCTTATAATTAGGTTGAAAAAAAAGTATAATAAAATGTATGTCTTACCATTCACACCGATCTCATAACCAATCAACCAATTTCGCGTGCAAATAAGCGCTTCGACGTTAGACGAACAAAGACGACTTCTATATTTGTTCAACAAACGAGAGCCAATGCTAAAAGATGATTCAGATGCCACTGTTGTGATAGGAATACTAAGTATATCGCACGCCATCTGAGTTAAGTTACCATACCGCTGCTTATGATTTTTCCAAAATTGTAGCACATCGATATCATCAAACTCATTCATTTCTAGCCTTTTGTCGTCCAAATATATTTCCAAAGCAGATCGTTCCTCTTGTGCAGCAGTTCTTCTCTCATATGCTTTGAAAACCTATATCATCACACCATAGTTTGATAAATTATACAAACTTATAAAGGCAAATTACAACTAGATAAGAAAAAAAAACTTACATTTAGAGCACCTAAGGTTTTTCCTCTCCCTTTTGCTAGACACCAACTTGGAGTTGGACTTGTAGCTCCTCGTGAAGAACTTGGAGTTAATGATTTGTTTTTATATTGATCAAAGAGCAACACCAAGTTTTTTTTCACAATATCTATCTTTTCCTTGGAATTAGTTGGATCAACCTCATTGTAGGCAAATTCCAATAATTCCAACTTCATTCTAGGATCTAAAACAGCTGCTAATGCAAAGGTTATGTTATACTCCTCCCAATACTTGTCAAACTTCTCCTTCATGTTGTTGGCCATAGATTCAATCATTTCATCTTCTCCATTTGTCATATAGTCTTTTAGCAAACACTCTATTCTCCATACTTGGAAGAAATACAAATTGGAGGTAGGATATTTAGACCCAAAAAATAAGTTAGTGATCTCGTAGAATGGCTCCAAAAAATCACAAATCTTTTCTCCTCGTTGCCACTCTTGACTTGATGGATTATACTTGTAGCTTCTATCAAGTAACTGCAAACTACTAAAAGCACGCTCATACTTGATAGCAACTTTAAGCATCGTATAAGTAGAATTCCATCTAGTGGGGATATCCAAATGCAAACCCGTCCCAGTTTCAACGCCAACTTGCTCACAATATTCCTTAAACATTTTCATCCTTCCCTCTGACCACTTTACATACTTCACGCTTTCTCTAATTTTATATAGAGCAGAATCAACCACTTTTAGCCCTTCTTGCACAATAAGATTTAAAATATGTGCATAACACCGAACATGAAAAAACTTCCCATCGCATAACAATCCATATTGTAGGCAAAGTTGATCCTTCAATATACTTTGCATGGTATCATTAGCTGATGCGTTATCAAGCGTGAGAGAAAAGATTTTCTTTTCTATCCCCCAATCTTTCAAACAATCGAGAACCTTCTTTGCCAACTCATTCCCAGAATGTGGAGGGGGCATGGCACTAAAAGATAGTATCTTACTGTTTAGTTTCCAGCTATTATCGACATAATGTCCAGTGATACATATATATCCTTCGATAGCTATAGATCTCCAAACATCAGCCGTCAAACAAATCCTATTAGAAATAGAAGCTATCTCCCTTTTTAGCTTCTCTTTTTGACCTTGATGCAATCTCAAGACATCAGCAACAATAGTATTCCTAGAAATTGGATTAAAATCCGGATTCATGTACTTAAGCAATTGCCTAACTCTCTTATACTCCACAAAGGAAAAAGGAAGATCGTGCTCTATGATCGCCATAGCTAAAAACTTACGAACCATCATACCATCAATTTTTTTGGCTATTATCATTTCGTCTTGAGCAAGCATCTCTGACATTTCAATAAACTTACTAGGCATTCCCTTGCATATAACCAAATGCCGACGGAGAGTTGACGTCCCGTTTCTTTCAGCATTATCCGGATAATCATTTCTACAGTATTTGCAAACAATCCTATTCCCGACTTTTGAAAAATGATCCCATACACACGAAGTACGTTGGCGTTTTCTAGAACTTACTTGATCTTGTGTTTCTGAGGGTTGAATTTGTAATGATGACCCCTCATTCGCACTTTCTCCCCCCGATGCAAAAGTATCCAATAATCTTAAACCAGACATATCACTGCATCAAATCAACAACAAAATGATCAGATATATTAGAAAAAGTTAGAAACAACTAACAACAATAAGAACCAAGGCAATAATAAGAAAACCAAATGGACCAATTACATTTAAAAGCTTTGTTAGAAACAATCTCTTGGCATTATGCTGAAGAAAAAGAATAAAATAAAGAGAAACCAATTGTAGATTTCTGATGAAATTCAAAGCCACATGAATGCATTTAGTTAATATTATCCAAACATAAACATAAACATAACGTAGACAATTTGAAGTTTAACATTTTAAAAAAATATTAAAGAGGACTTGAAAATAAAAAAACGTTGAAGCAAAGGACCATAAAAAAACATGAAATTTGCAGTATTACAGAATAATTTCACAGAGAAAATGATTGATGATTATATATTTTCTAATAATAAGTGACTCATCAAACCCAAATCTAGAAATCAAGAACTTGATTTGATCTAGATAATCATGTCTGAATTTGATAGAAGACCAAACTCTCGAACTCACAAACGACATCCCCAGTTTCTTCTACCACTTACATGAAAGATGGATCAATATCATTCACTGTCGTTCTCATACCCATAACATTCTAACGAACCATAGCCATTGGAAGTATCAATCCCATCAAAGGAGATTCATTTCTCATTCACAGAACAACATGACTCATACTCTAATGTTCATAATTTGGTTCATGTAAACCCATCGAATTCGAAATCATTTAAAACCCAGAAACCCTAATCTTCTCCATAAGATTCTCTGATAATAGATTCAAACTTCATACTAAAGAGAATCAGCATACCTGATTTGAAGCGATGAAGACGAACAACACAATGAAGGATTCACAAATCAAAGGAGATATCTGTCTTCACTCTTTGAGTTTATAAAACTCGAAATGTTTGAGACATTCTATGAAGCTAAGATGCAGCTCGACGAGAATCTAGCTAATGATTCAAACAAGAAATTGAATCACTTTGTCGGTTGGAAGAAGAAAAAAGAACCCAGCAAAAGGCATGTGTGAGACACTTCCGATATCCAATACCCACGGAGATATAGTACAGATGTTAGCTTCTATAACATGAATACCCGAGACAGAAGCTTCATCAAGCTTCTTGTCCTTCAGAATCTCCAAGTAAAGGTGACAATTACGCTTCCAGTGTCCAGACACTCCGCAGTAATGACAGTCACCCTTATCGGGCTTAGGCTTAGGCGTAGAGGCAACTTTTGACTTTTTCGCCACCTTTTTCTTGGCTTTACTCTGCCGCTTCTTGCTGAAGTTTTTCTCAACAACAACCACAGTCTTGGACACCACAATATCCTGCTTAGCCGATTTCAGCATCCCATGCAGTTCGGCTAAGCTCTTAGTCATCCCGTGCATATGGTACTGCATTACAAACTGGTTATAGTCCTCGGGTAATGACATCAGGATCAAGTCTGCAACGAAGTCACCATCGAGCTTCACTCCCATACGCTCAAGTTCCTCAACATGAGCTTGCATGTTGACAGAGCTGCCTCTCGGCATCTCCGTCTTCACTAGAGCTTTTAGCGTCTTGTACTTTTCAGTACGCGCTAGCTCGTGAAACATGGTCTTGAGCTGATTGATCATATCAAACACGCTCTTACCCTCAAACTGCTTTTGCAGATTCGATTGATCATATCAAACACACTCTTCCCTTCAAACTGCCTCTGCAGATTCGGGGCCACGCTTCCCAACATGAGGCAGGAGATCTCATTGTCATCAGTCTGATGCTTCAACCAAGCATCCTTGATGGCTCTCGTGGCATTGGCCGCAGGCTCTGGTGGTAGAGCCCCTTCCAGGACGTACGACTTCTTATCGTGCTTGAGAACAATTCTCAAGTTATGATACCAGTCTAAGAAGTTCGTCCCAGTCAACTTATCCTTCTCAAGGATAGATCGCATCGTTAAACTCAGTACGCTACCTGTTGACGCCATGTCCTACAAAAGAGACAAAAACAGAACGAACAAAACAAAATACAGATTCTATCAATGATCTACTACCAGCTAGTCCATCATCAATCAACGACAACATAGGTGCAATTCACACAAGCTATATTCCCATAAAGAAAACTAACCCCTACATTAATTTTCTATTTGGGACTAAGATCCATATTTCACATAAGAATAAATTGTTACGCTTATCCTTATGCTATTCAGGTAGACATCTAATGTCAATCACATCCAATGTGACTCTTAGATCTTTTATGAGACTATGATATCGAATATCATTGCATACTCGTCTCATCTGTACCATTAAGTTTTAAGTCAAACTTGACGACTTAACCTAAGGTAAACCATATTCAAGCTGTGGGAACCACGATTTCCCACCCTGCCTCACAAAGATAATCCGGCACGCTCAGCTTTGGCATGACCCGTGTTACGGACGATCGATGCCTTGATAGGCGCTCTAGTAATGGAAGGTGATGCGCACGCACCGAGTCTTATATTTAGTACTCGATCCGTACCACTATTCGTAAGTATACAGTAGTTGTAGTACCGGGGCCGAACATGAGGACTAGGATGTATTAGTCTATCTCTAAGCTAGATTAGGGTCAAGTAAAATATGGTTTGTGGTAGGTATCGGAATACGAGAAAGCGATAAAAATTAACGGTTTGTAAAACGACGGTTTGAAGTGTTGTAGGTCCTGGATCCCTCAAGAATTGCATGGACTGTTAGTGATGCTACAATGCTTATGGGTTTATCTTCCAATTGGGGGTTTCAAGCACTTCTTCTAGAGTTTGTCTCTCCCGAGCTTAAACTCACTACCTAGAGAATCGATTCACCCATTTCCCAATGATCCAAATGATTTCTAGATGCATTAATGTACCCCATCATAAACCCTAAGCAAGCTAAGCCATCTCCCAATGTGAATAACTTACTCATTTGACATTTGGTTCCAAACATCATTCCCATATCCCTATGATCAATGTGTTCTACAATCATATCAATTAGGGTTTCAACCAAATCAATAGCATTAAGCACAAAACATCAAACCAATGGAAGAAAACTCAAAAGCATCATAGATAAGCATAGGTGTCCATACAAAAGTGGGGATCCCTCACCCACAACAAGGTTACTACTCCATATCTAAAGGTCCAAAACATAAATCAAAAGGGGAGAACATAGAAAAGGAGAAGAAATGCTCAATGTGATCTTCAATGGTGATCTCCTTCTTCAAGATGTCTCCCTAGGTCTCCAAATCTCCCTTTCCTCTTCTCCAAGGTGTTTTCCTTCCAAAGTGTCGAGTCCCCTTTCTCTCTCCTCAAACTCCCCTTTTTGTGCAAGTGCAAAAACTAGGTTTTTCCTAAAAAATCGGGCTTTTCCTTTTTGGGTCGGATTTGATATCGGGCGGTCGCTCACTTTTTGTTCAGGGTCGCCCATTTTCTCTTCAGTGTCGCTCGTTTTCTTCAGGGTGAGTGACCGCTCATGTGCATGAGCGACCGCTCGTTCTTCTTTGCAACTCGAGGCGATCGCCTTGTGTACCGAGCGACCGCTCGTTCTCCGTATTAGCACAGAACGACTGCCTGATTCCGCGAGCGACTGCCCGATTGCTTGGCTGTCACAGCGAGCGACCGCTCGGTATAAGAGCGGGCCGCTCATTTTCTCTGAGCTATCCGGGACTTCTCGATTATGTTCCTTTTCCGTGCCTCGTGCGTAAATATCCTCGTTCGATCATCCTGCAAGGGAAATGGAGGAAAGAATCCTACCCATGACCGTCTAACACCCTATTATGCCTAAGATATGAGAAAAAATCAAAGTGTGTGACGTTAGAAAACCGGTGAAAAAACCGTGTGATCAAATCCCCCCAGACTTGAGGTTTGCTCGTCCTCGAGTAAGTGTGCAAATGATGCATAATGTGTAGAGTCCATGGGTACGATGTACGTTAGTGTCACTCCTCCCCGCCAGACTTGAATCAAACACCGTCCACAGTGTTGACTCTCGTCTAGTGGAGAGAATTCAAAGAGAAATAAGGAATGGATGGAATGAAAGGGGTGGTTGTGTTACCTTGTCCGATGAGGTGGAATCGCATTCCAATTTCTCTGTTGCGTGTGCCGTAAGCCCATGAAACCTATACAATGTGAGGAAACTATAATGCTATGCGATGTTAGCCGAAATGAATACAAGGGGTGAGGATTAAGAGAGAGGACCGAGCAGGCCTTTAGCAGGACCCGTGGGATGAGGACTCTTGTCCGGAGTCTGTGCCGAGGTCCGATGAGACCTCAAAATAGATTCCTTCTTCGGTCAGAGGAGGTAGCACAAAATAGGCCATGTCGAATGATCGATACCTACTCTCGACGTCCACGAACCTCCATAATATGTCCCCGTTTTGTTCCTTGACAAAATTGTTCTCCAAAAGATGCATATAGTTGATCTTGTCCCCGTGGATGAAATCATGCGCATATGCTCTAAGATCGATGCCCAATCGCACTGCAATCATGGTTACAATCCCTCCAAAGCAAATTACTCAGTGGTGGAAGTGATTACCTTGTGCATATGCAGTGCTACCCTTGACGCGACGTCCGCAACCTCTAGACGGTTGTTTATCATGAAGTGGATGTTGGTTTAGTGCTCTATGATGTACTGTTATGCGAGCTTTACTTAGATACATTTGATGTATTGACACTTTCTATAGTTTATGGATGAGTGTTTGATTCATTACGTATTATGCATGCTTTAATATGTTATGAAATCCATGTATTGTTATGAACAATACTAAACTCCCTAGTCATGTATTATTGTGGGAATAATGATATAACAAGACTAGTATGATGTGTGATTGATGATCATATAGATGATCATAGGTATTGGATACGATCACAGTCATAGGTATTCGTTGGAGAACGGAATACTGAATGACCCGCATGAGAGTGTCACATAGACTAGCATCATAACTTGAATCTCATATGGCGGTTCCATGATTGTGTA